ATGTGATTGAGGGCAAGGATGGCAGGGACAGTAGCATCTGGGTTTCAGGGTTGGAATGGACTATCAGCTCATCTCAAGGCCTCCCATGGTCATGTGGCAAGCCCCGAGCAGGTGTACTGGAGGACAGCATGGGGAGGAGGTGTGATTCTCTGAAGTCGGATTGCTGGGAATTGAACCTATTTTCCGGGCTGGAATGAAGGATGCCCTGCCTACCTCCCGGGGTGTGGTGGGAACCTGCAGGAGTGACAGCACTTTGTAAAGCTGTAAGTCCCAAGCTCAAGGTGATCCACCCACTTCAACAGTTTTACCTTGCTTCCTCGGGTCCAGGGGGTCTCAAGATGGGAGGGGCAAGGGCCACTTTAGAGAAAGAGAGCGGGGATCCCACAGAACTTCAAAGCAGCTTCAGCCCTCTTTTGTACACTTTGGGATTCTCTGGAAGTTATATCTTCCTTTCTCTTTGCTTTCATCTCATTTTTTCCTATCCTTCTTTTCCTTCTTCCTCGTTTTATAAACCACAGTCCTCTGCTAAAAGTGATTACGAGCGGTAGTTTTTGCTTGTTTTTTATATGTTTGTTTGAGACAGGGTTTCTCTGTGTAGCTCTGGCTGTCCTGGAACTTGCTCTATCAACCAGGCTGGCCTCGAACTCAAAGATCCACCTGCTTCTGCCTCCTGAGTGCTGGGACTAAAGGCAAGCACCATCACATCTGGTGCCAAACCTTTTTTTTTTTTTTTTTGCTTTTTTTGTTTTGTTTTGTTTTTACATATAGCCCAGCCTGGCCTGGAGCTTACTATGTATTCCAGGCTAGCCTCAAAAGTTCAATGATCTAGGGGCTGGAGAGATGCCTCAGCGGTTAAGAGTACTGGCTGCCATTCCAGATGTCCTGAGTTCAATTCCCAGCAACCACACGGTGACTCACAACCATCTGTAATGAGGTCTGATGCCCTCTTCTGGCCTGTATACATAATAAATAAATAAATCAAAAAAAGTTCAGTGATCCTTGTGCCTTGGCCTCTTGAGTGCTGGATTACAGGCTTGTGCCCTGACACCTCACTCTAACAGGGATTATGAGCAAAAGCCCTGTGATGTCCAAACCATGGCCTTATGTGGTCTCTAAGTACCTGAAATGCTTAGTATAAATTAAGATGTGCTATTAAGTGCAAAAATTTGAAGACTTAACAAAAGAATATAAATTGTCTCAGTAGTAATTATCTTATATTGATTATATGTTAAAAACTGTTTATTTCTTTATTGAATGTGCTCAGACATATGCCTGCATGTATGTCTCTGTACCACTCACATGCCTGGTACCTGGGGAAGCCAAAAGAGGGTGCAGATTCTCTGGAACTGGAGTAACAGATGGTTGTGGGTCCTATAGAAGAGCAGCTAGTGCTCTTGACCACTGGTCCACCTCTTCAGCCCCTTGTTTGTTTATTGTTTGAGCCAGGTCTTGGTGTTACCCAGACTGACCTCAGTGACTTTCCTGCCTCAACTTCCCAAATAGCTAGCATATACCAGCACAGTGTCTGGCTCTAAAACATTTTTAATATACTGAGCTGCATCTGGAAAGATGCCCAGTGGTTAAGAGCATGTACTACTCTGATGGAAGACAGGAGTTGGGTTCCTAACACTCATGTCTCACAGCTCTCTCTCTCTCTCTCTCTCTCTCTCTCTCTCTCTCTCTCTCCAGAACTTTTCTGTGTAACGACCCAAGCTGTCCTGGAACTCACTTTATAGACCAGGCTGGCCTCGAACTCACAGAGATTCACCTGCCTTTGCCTCCCGAGTACATGTCTCACAGCTCTTAACTTTATACTCAGGCTTCAGGGGATTCTACACCCTCTTCAGGCCTGTGTGTGGGCAGCTGCACTCAAGGGCACATACCCACACACAGCCACACACATACATACATACAATTAAAAGGGAGTGAGGAAGCTGAAGATATGGCTCTGGAGATATGGCTCAGTGGTTAAGAGCACTGGCTGCTCTTCTGGAGGACCTGGGGTTCAATTCCCAGTACCCACAAGGCAGCTCACAACTGTCTGTAATTCCAGTTCCAGGTGATCCAACACCCCCACATGCAGGCAGACCACCTATGCACATAAAATAAAATAAATATGTATATACATACATACATACATACGTGCATATATATAATCTCCTGGTGTGATGGCACACACCTTTGATCTCAGAACCAGGGAGGCAGAGGCAGGAGGATCTTTGAGTTCGAGGCCAGCCTGGTTTACAGAGTGAGTTCCAGGACAATCCCAGCTACACAGAGAAACCCTGTCTCAAAACAAGCAAACAAACAAAAATTCCCTGAAAATGTTATATGCTGAGCTAAATTAAAGTATTTAAATCAATTTCACCCCGCTTTCTTTTACTTTTTAAAACTGTAAAGATGGGTTCCTCTTGGATGGCAGCCCTCCTCGTTGAAACAGTGGCTGTTGAAGCAAGTGCTGTTGGCTTCCTCACAGAATTTTGTGTTAACAGTCTACAAGAAGGCAGAATACTTGCGAGTCAACTTTACTTGGAGAGCTTAAGCGGCCACTCAAGGTCGGCCAGCTTGCAAGCTTCCTACCTGCCCGCACCCCTCTGGGCTCCAGATCTCTCTACACCACTCTGAAGGCGGAAACAGGTTTCAGCATGCCGGTTCCAAGTCAACCGGGCCTTCGCCCACCTTACCGTCTCCTGCCCCAACCACTCCCTCTGCAGGGCAGACGTTCTCTCCCTCCCATCCGAGGCCTTTCGACTCCCTGAACCTCCTGCGTTTTCCATACCCCAACACAAGGCCTCAGAGAGGAAGGCTGGAACCCGGACCGGGTTTAGACACCCCCTTCCCACTGGGGCTACAGCGGCCGGCCGGAGGAGGACTTTCCACTTGGAGCGGCTCCTCTAGCAGATCCCTGGGAAGAGGGGTGCAGAGAGCATGGTCCCCTCTCCCTACAGTTCTTGCCTGCCTCGCCCCTCCATCCCCCCGAATGCCGGAAAAGACCTGACATCCCATCTAGGAGCCCCGGGCTGTTGCTATTTCTACGTGACGGAATTAAGCCGGTTCAAATTAGAAGGTGATATTTCATCTCTAATTGGCACGTTCAAAAGGCTCCTATCGCACTCGGCGGCCCCGGGACTGTGTAATTAAACAAGGTGATCTGAGTCACTCCGGCCCGGGGTTGGTGCTCAGCGAGCGCCCCGGTCGGTCGCCGCCCGGCCCGCGGGCCAACGTGGCCGTCCCCGGGCCCACAGTGTCCTCCGCCCACTGGTCAAGCAGGCCCGGGCCCCAGGTGTTCTGGGGAGCGGACGCCCAACCCCGGCGCCAGAGATAAGATCCCAGGGCGAACGCCACCCTGCCTCCGCCAGCCGGAAGCTGCGGCCGGGGACTGGCCTTGAGCGGACTGCTAGTGCTCGCCGGTGCCCTGGTCCCCGAAGCCCAGCAGCGGCGCAGCGGGGTGCGGACCCGCACTGCCTCCCTCCCCCGGCCTGGCAGACTGTCAGCCGCCCCCGGAGCCCCGAGAAGGAAGGGTGGAGGCAGGCCTCTCCTCCGCTCCAGGCAGGAATGAGTTAACGTCTGCACCGCCTGGGAACCGCCAAGAGGCCTGGGCTCCGGCACGTCTGGCCCGCCTCGGCCGGCCGGAGCCGGAGAAGCTACTGGAAAGCCGGGCCGCCCCCTGGCGGGCCTGGAGAGGACAGGTCAGGGAAGGTGCCGGAAGCGCCTGGCGGTGCTGCCAGGAAAGGGCTTCCTTGTGCAGTCACAAGGCCTCACCTGCACCTGACACTACTCCATCCTCCTTCTGCAAGCTTCGTCCTGGGTTTCCAGTCTGCACCGGGGCGTTTTTTTCTGTCTCCTACATAGATTTGTACCGATCCCCTTCCAAAATGCCACTTCGGCCTGTGAAGTTTTGACTTTAGAACTTCCTTTCCTTGGCCAAGAAGTGGCTTCATCTGCAGAGAGCCCCCGTCTTACTCAAGTGAGAAAGTTCAGGTCTCAGAGGTGAGGCGGTTTGCCTGTTACTTATGGCAGGCCGGGTGTTCCTCTCAAGCTGATATGCGTCCTGTCCACATTCAGTTCTCTTTATACAGCAGATTCTGTCGCCTCTCAGCAAGTGTGTGCTCCCCCAAGCAAGGCCCCCAGAGGGAAGCTTCCTAGGGTCTCACTCACATCTTAGCAGGATACACTTGGGAGGCTAGACTTTGGACGTGCTGTTCTTTACCGCAAGGCTGCTTGGCCAGTTCACACTCGTGGAACACATGCCTCTCTTCCTTCTCCCTTGAAATGACCCATACCTTTCTTAAACACGTCTGTAACCTACCCCCTCAGCTTACCATGAATTCCTGGCATGTGCGCTGGAAAAGGCCGGTTGTGTGCATGGGGCGAGGGGACGGGATGTTTGGAAAATGACACCTTTTGTTCAGTTTTGCTGTGAACTGAAAACTTCCTTTAAAAGTCTGTTAAACTGGGTGTGGTGGCACATGTTTACAATCCCAGTACTTGGGAGGTCCAGGCAGGAGGATCAACAGCCAGCCTGGGCTACATGAGCCGCCCTGCCAACAAACAGGCACACAAAAAGTCTATTAAAAGTTTTATGTGTGCTGGGCGATGGTGGTGCATGCCTTTAAACCCAGTACTTGGAAGGCAGAGGCAGGTGGATATCTGAGTTTAAGGCCCCCTTGGTCTATAGGGCTAGTTCCAGGACAGCCAGTCAGAACTGGCTACATAGAGAGACCCTGTCTCAAAAGCAAAACAAATTATATGTGTATAATAATTTTGAGGAGAGAAAGACATTTGTATTATGATAGTAAATGGAAAATCATCGTTGCTTTCTATAAACTCAAGATAACAATAACTACATGCTGAAGGTATAATGTTTCATTCTTTTTTTTCGGTTTTTCAAGACAGGGTCTGTCTGTGTAATCTTGGTTGCCCTGGAACACGCTCTGTAGACCAGGCTGGCCTTGAACTCACAGAGATCCACCTGTCTCTGCCTCCTGAGTGCTGAAATTAAAGGCGTGCGCCACCACTGCCTGGCTAGGAAGGTATAGTGATTAAGTGGAAATAATGTGCCCACCTAAAATCCTATTTTGTCAGCCCGTGAAATGTACACCAAGTGATCATTATAAGAATACTGAAGACTCATTCCCTGTGTGTACACAGCTGCCGGAGTACAGAATGCAAGTTCATGGTCTCTCTGTTGCTCCATGATGTGTTCAGCCTGCTTCCCTGCCTGCCTACCTGTCTGTCATGAGTGCATGCGTGCATGCGTGTGTGTGTGTGTGTGTGTGTGTGTGTGTGTGTGTGTGTGTGTGTGGCTAGGGACTGAACCCAGGGGCCTCACATGTGCGAGGCACACACTCTACCACCAAGTTGACACCTCTAGCCCCTGCCTATTTTTCTACGCCTTTGTTGGATGTCTCCTCATGGCAAGCTCAAGTCAGGCATATACAAAAGAGAAAGTCTGTCACAGCCCTGGCCTCCTAAAGTTCAGGATCAGAACCGGAAGACAGTGACTAGATGCAGGGCTTGGATGTCAAGGGCCTTCCTATAGGCAGAGCCAGAGCACATGGGGAAAAAAAAATCAGGGAGAACCTGAAACAAACAAACAAAAAAACAAAAAAACAAAACAAAAAAAACCCTGCTAGAGCATTCTTGGGTTCTTGGAGCAATGGCTGACAGGAAAGTGGGTCTCGCACCAGCCTGAGACCTACCTTGGGCTCTGAGGAAGAAGGCCCATTCTGCCTAGGAGATTAGGAAACAGGCTACCTCTCAGCCCTGGAGGAAACCCCTGGGCACTGACTGGAGGGGCCGCAGAGACAGGACTACAAGGAGTTCTGCCTGGGGCCCACTGTGAGGAGACCCCCCCCCCCCCACTGCTATGTCCTGTGTCACCGAGGAAACCAGACTGGCTGAGCAGCTTGCTCAAAGGACAAAGTGACACAGTGACCTGGCCGAAAGCCTGGGGCTTTTTTCTTAGTTTCTTGTCTTCCAGTTTGAGGCTGATCCAGATTCTCAGAGAAACAGCTTTTGACTTCGGCCACCCCGCTCTCCAATGCCCAGCCCTCTTTTCTCTCAACCCAGTCTGGAAACATCCAGCCATGAGCATCCCTTCCCTAAGAGCTAGATGGCTCCATCCCGGCCTGGTACAGCCCACCTGTCTTCCAAGGTCAAACTCGGGCTCGAGGTCTCCCTAGGACTCTACCCTGCAAGCAGGGGCGGGCAGGGAGAACTGAGTCTCCTTGACTTCTGGAGCAGATGACCCTTTGCGCCCTGCCCCCACCTCCCTCTGGCTCTCACCTGGCTGGTAAACAGAAGGCCGGATGCTGGCAGTGGTTACGACTCGGGGCTTGGGTGCAGGGGCAGCTGGACCCTCACTGTAGCTGGTGTCGGCAGAGGGTGCTGGAGAAGAGGCTGCCGCGGGGCTGTAGGCAGAGGCCTGTGGCCTGGAACCAAGACAGAAGAGTTAGAAGAAGAACCGTCCATTGGTCTCCGGTACCCAAAGCCATGGCAGGTCTGCTATCTGAGCTCTAGGCAGGACCATGACAGAAACACCCATTGGATCGTTTCCAGAGTCTACGCAGAAGCCAAAGGGTCTTAGAGGGGATGAAGCTACTCCCTTGGCTAGCGCTGCCCCCTTGGAAAAGAGAGAGGGAAGGTGCCAGCCAGGCAGAGCACATGGAAATCCCACAGAGGGATTTGTAGTCAGAGGACTGTGACCTAGGCAGAGGGAGAAGGGAGGAGAGCAGGGAGATGGAGATGGTCACAGCTACTCCCCTTTCAGGGACGCCCTGGCCACCTGGTCTCCTTATCTTATTCTTTTATGTTGCTGCTGGAAGAAGCAGTAGTCTCACGTTTTTTGAGCGGGGGGGGGGGGGTGTTCTGACATTGTTCATGGGAAGAAGTGAGGAGGCCCAGCAGCTCCCCAGCAAACCACTCTACTTCTTAGACAATCGCTTCCTCCCATTGGCTCAGCTGTCAAGATTCTAGAGCAAGCAGCCTTTTCTCACATGTGGCTCAGGGGGAATGGTAGCAAGGAGATGTACCAAGCGTGCCAGTTCTTTGCCCTCAGGAGCCTGCTGAACCTCGCCTCTCTCTTGGGGGAGCTGAAGGCTCCAGGAACTCCCAGCATCCAGCAGCTTAGTCCTGCCTGATGCAGTGTTTTCCAGCCTTACTTGTTTGTGAAACCTTTTTCTTCATTTCAAACGGATGAATATCTTTCCCTCCTTACATGCTCTGTATCCTAAAGAGGACCTTGACCACACCCAGCAAATGGGCCATTGGCGAGATGCTGGAGAAACGAACCTTAGAAATACACCCCAACCTTTGGCATCCTGTGTCTCTCCCATCTCTTCCCTATGGGCTTACTAGACCTGCTGGGCCAAGCTGTGGAATGAAGGGTTGCCTTATTGTCCTGGTCTCTGGAAGGGATGGCCCTGGCATAACAATCTGCCACTGATAACCTGAGTGGACCCAAGGAAGTCTGGGTACTGTCCCAGGCAGAGGTAAAGTAATCTTCAGAGCAGCATCCCATCCCTGGGGGGCTATGCATCCTTCCTTTCCCTTCCCACAACATTTATAGTTAAGGCTTCCTCTGCCCTTCTGTGGCTAGATCCCTGAGCTAAGGGCAGAGGAGTAAGCACACTGGTGGGAAGGAGGACACAGTACGCAAAGGGTGCCCAGCTTCTGTGTGGCTGGATGAAGCTACAGGCCAGTGGGTCAGGGCCAGACTTTCCCACCACTGGGGAATACCTTGCCTGCATCCTGGATTGGCACGGGGAAAGGAAGCAGAAGCCGAAGACATCCGGTGAAGGGCCAAGGTGTACATCCAATGAGCACCTCTAGCTCCAGCTCTTTTTGAGCCCACGTGTAAGGAAGGGAGGCATCTGTGCTCAGAGCACACTCCCTGACCCCTCCCAGTGTAGCCCAGTGCCCTGTGGAATCCTCCTCTGCCCTCTTGGTAAGGTCATGAAAAGGAAGAATTCACCCTCATGGGGGTCTCCTAAGGCCATCAGCAGTGAGTGGGCAGCCCAGACACGGAGGCCTGGAGCATGGAGCTGGAGTTTGCCCTTCAGTGAGAGATAGGGTTGGGGCTAGACTACTCGTGGACTTCGGCAGCCAGGACTTCTCTTTCCCTGTGCACGTTGGAAGGCTTCCCCCACCTCTCCACAACAGGGACATTTCTCATCTTGCATCAGAGCTCCTGCTCTGTGAAGGAAACAAGGCCCTAACGAGAGGAGGGTCTGCAGAGGAAGAGTGGAGGCAGTCTGCTTGAGCCTGTCCTAGGCAAATGGGACAGAAGCACTCTGGCAGCCAGGACCAGGCTCCCCCCGCCCCCCAGTGATTGAACTGGGCTGGAGAAAGGCTGGGCTTGCCACCACATGGGATGCTGGGAAGCTGCCTCAGGCTGCACTATGACCCTATACACCATGACCCAAAGAGGCATCTTTTCCCTGGGTGCTGGGGAGTCTGGGTCCCGGCCCAACAACAGTTGAGCAGTTCCTGGAAGCCTGCAAAACACAACTGGGCCAAGCCTGCTCTGGAGTGACCCACCCAGCCTCCCTCTTCCTCCTCCCTGCATGCCCCCTTCCTTTGGCCTCTGTTTTGGTCGGTACCCAGGAAGATAGGCTGAGACACCGGAATTTAAAGTACTTATTTTAACTGTTTCATGTGTGCTAGGTGCTTTATGGACGAGTCTTCCCAATAATGACCTCAATATACATGTGCATCTTTAGACATCATAGCTGATGAGGGAACTGAGGTTCAGAGGTTAAATCACTTTCTCAGGGTTTCAAATAGTAAAGTTCTGCACAGAGTGGGAGATTTAAATCCGAGTACGATGGGGACATCTGAAGTTAGACTGTTTCTACACCAAGGGAAGAAAAGGATGAGGAGGCGGGCAAGTTAGCAGCTAAGCTGTCTGACCTGACTAGTTCAACGTTCCCACCTCCCAGGAGCCTGCCTTGATTTCCTCCAGCCCATGTGGATGACTGTCATCTTCCTTTTCTGTGTTCTAAGAACAGACTGCATAGTGTTCCTTTGATATGTGTGATGTGTTGCTCATGTTCACATGTATGTGTGTGTGTGCGTGTGCGTGCGCGTGCCCATGGATGTGCATGACTTTTATCTATCACCAGGGATGTTCCCCTGGCCGGTGGAGGGTGGAGGGGGCTGCAGAGCAATAACAAAACTCTCATTAATCATGGCTGGTGTACCCCACAAAATGCATCCTGACTTCCCCTTCACACTCCGCACCAAGTAGTAGCAGCCTTGGCTTCTTCGGAAAACATCAGGGACCTAACTATTTGGACTTCGCTGCCCACAAAGAGGCTTGCAGTGGAACCTTTCTTGCCTCCTTTTCCCAGTGTTAGGTCTGGCATCTGTGGACCACCAGTTACCTCGGACTCTCCACAGGGCTTGAGGCAGGACCTGCAGCAGAGGCAGTAGCAGCATGGGCAGCAGCAGCTGTGGCCAGGGTTGGCGAGGCCGCAATGGGAGAGGCAGCAGCAGGCGGCTGGGCAGAAGCAGGCAGCAGCGGGGTAGAGGCCTGGCTGGTGCACACTGGAGCATGCTCAATAGGGGTGCTGATGGGGTGGGATCAAAAAGACAACAGGTCATGTGGGCCCCAGGTCTGGGGAGGCCCTCTCCATGGTGTGGGGTGAATGGAAAGTTCTGGATACGAAGCAGGATGCAGGTGTGTGACAGGGAACATCCTAAGGTGCTGGGAAAGAGCTCCTCTGGAATCCCAGCAGGGCATGATCAGACCTCAGGGAGGGGCCTGGCAACATGATCTTGGAGGGATGTTTACCCCTCAGTCTTTCAGTACTTCCTGGTTTTTCTTTCCCAGTGAACCTCAATGCAGTGGGGAAACACATTAAGTTATCAACCCGGTCCCTTCCTGTCCAGTTTGCCTTTGCCTTCTCCCTCATGCTTGCACATTCAGTCGGGGGCATAAATTACATCTGGGAAAGGAGGCTATAGCCTCCTTTCCCTCAAAAAGATATTTGAGTTTAAAAGTCCTAGGCTTGCCGGGCGTTGGTGGCGCACGCCTTTAATCCCAGCACTCGGGAGGCAGAGCCAGGCGGATCTCTGTGAGTTCGAGGCCAGCCTGGGCTACCAAGTGAGCTCCAGGAAAGGCGCAAAGCTACACAGAGAAACCCTGTCTCAAAAAACAAAAAACAAAAAACAAAAAACAAAAACAAAACAAAACAAAAAAAAGTCCTAGGCTCTAGGGCCACAAGAAGGTGGGCTTTAGCCCAGGGCACTGACGATACATCTGACGGAAGGTGGACAGACAGAAGCTACCATGGAAAGCAGACCAAGGGTACATGAACCAGAAGGGGTAATGTGGTCAAGGACCATTCAGGGATACAGAAATTTGTGCCCCTTTTCGTGACATACTCTGAGGAGTGGCAGGACCTATAGGGAGGGCACAGGTAGACCCTACTGAGCTGATAGAGCCTCATGTCACCAGGTATCTGGGTGTGCTACCCATTCAAGAGTGACGTGAACTTGGCTCTAAGCACATATAGAGCTGAAGGCTCTTTCTACTGAGAAGCAAGCAGCCTCTCTGCCTGTGTAGAGCAGTGTAATCAGGTAGGATGGACATACCCAGTACCAGCCTTTGCTAGCAGGTAGACCAGATGCCCACATGCCTCCACCCGAATGCCTGGGTATTCTGAGAGCCCAGACTGTCCCAAAAGTCCTCTAAGAAGGCAGATCAGTCAGAGTTTGGATTGAGAGGATTAGTTCTGCTCCCTGGGAATGGGACAGAGAATAAAAACTCAGCCATAGGGCTGGGGAGATGTCTTGGTCAGTAAAATGCTCACTGCTTAAGTGTGAGGACTTGAATTCAGATGCCTAGCACCCACATAAGAAACGTAAAAAGCCAGGTGCAGCAGCCTGAAATTCTAGCACAGGGAAAACAAGAGAAGAGGATCTCTGGGGCTTGCTAGCCAGCTGATCTTCAGGTTCAGTGGGAGACCCTGTCTCAAAAACTAAAGTAGACAGCAACTGAGGAAGACACTTGACATTGACCTCTGGCTTCCAGACACATGCATAGAATTGTGCATGTATACCCCTTCCCCAACAAGCACTCACTACAATCTACAATTCCGGCCCTCCCACACAAGCCGTGAGAAAACAGAGAGACACACATCCTGTCTTGTCCTTTCCTCTTTCTCCCCCTCTCCCCCCTCTCCTCTCCTCTCCCCACCCCCTCAACTGCTCTAACACCTGTATTCAAGTCATTCTCCTGCTTCAGCTTCCCTGTTAATTGGGACCACAGGAAGGAACCACCATACCCAGCTCATTCTTAGATCTTTGACTGACATTTCTCTTTGTAACAATAGCAATAGAACATACGAAACTTCTACAAGTTGTAGTAGCTCCCCCAGAACCAGGCCATTTATTTGCTCACGTTATACTGTGTTTCCACCATTATTCCTTTAAGATCTCACAACAGCCCTCCGATGGGGGCTAATCAACCCTATTTAATAAGTGAGGAAATGGAAACAGAATTCATCTACCCAAGGTTCTGGAACTTACCCATGGGAACAAAATGACTGAGGGTCAGTTTGACTTTCAGCCTTAACCAGTGTTTCACAGAGGAAGAAAGAGACCTCTTCTTGTGGTCAGCCAAGATGATCTGTCTCTGTTCAAAGGCTGGACCCAGTAACATCTCAGCACTTTCCTCTTCCACGTGCTCCACAGTGCCAAGTCAGCCCGTTCTCCCCTTTTTCCCTCCCCCCTCCCTGGATGATTCGTCTTATAGGTCTCATCTGGAGACCAGGGACCCGGGGTTGAGAGACACGGCCTCTCCGGTGAAACATCACACAGCTAGGTAAACTGGTGGTACACACCAATTATCCCAGCATTTGGCTGGCTTTGTGAGTTTGAGGCCAGCCTGGGCAGCACATAGCGAGTTCCAGGACAATCTGGACTATATCGTGAGACCCTGTCTTAAAACAAAACCAGCAGAAAATATCACACAGCAGCTTCTAGTTTGGAAGTGGGGTTGAGACTGATTTCCAGCAAGTTCCCTGGTAATGCTGATGCTGTTGGCCTATGGACCACACATGGAGGAGCAAATTGTGAGATATCTCTGTCTGTCCCAGATAGGAATGCCAGGAAGCCACAAGCCGCTTACCCAAGCATCTCCTAAATGACCTCCATTCAGTTGGAAAGGAAAAAGGTACAAAACAGAAGGGTTAGAGCTGGAGAAGCAGTGAAGTCGTGGGCTGGCTATCCCATAGCGAAGAGCGCATTCAAATGGGCCCGTGTTAGCTACGTCCTGCCCAAGACTGTCATGGTTTAGTTGTCAGAGAGGAGGCCTTGGACAGTGCTGTCCTTGACACTTCTATGAGGCCACTTGCCCATCCTCTGTGAAACACCTTTGCTCCTGAAATCCATGCTGATTACGTGGCTATCCCAGAGAAACTGTAGACCTCGAACGCTCCTAAGCTGGCTGTTGGAGGCCTCCTCACAGGGTGGCCAAGTATGGGAAGGCTCAGGGTGACATAGACCGTCGTGCCCCTCCCTGGTTCCGTCCCACATTTCCAGTGGACCACTGGAAACTGAAGACCCTGCCCAGGGTGGGAGTGATGGAAAATGTCCGGGCTATGCGAAGAAGACACTGGCTGTCTGTCCCCTTTGTCCCAGTGTGCTACAGCCCAGCATATCTGCAGCTTTCCCTAGCAATAGTTCCGAATGAAGCCTGGATTTCAGGCAATGAAGATGGAGTAGGCCCCAGAAAAGTTCACCATTGACCACAGAGCTGGGACAAAGGTTACCATCAGGGATGCATGGGCACGCACATGTGCCTGCTACTCTGTTCTTGCTGAGTGCATCCTATCTAGGATCACACTCTTTCCCAACACCAAGCAGTCACCAGGGTCTAGAGAGGGGAGAAGAGACATCAAAGTACATCCTGAAGGATCTTGGGTTCTTGTTCCACGTCAGTTTCTGCATGAGGTTCCACGAGTCTCCAGAAATTCCAAAAAGTAGGCACCAGCAAGCAAGCATTACAGAGAACTTACATAGCCTCGGCCTTAGTCCTAAAGAGATGCCCACGAGATCGCCCCGGCCTGGCCTACAATTCCACAGCTGCTTCCTGACTTGTCATACACTCAGATTCTTTTTTTCATTTTTCATGAAAAATGTTTGGTGTTGGGCAAAGAATTCAGGGCCTTATATATGTGCTAAGCACACACTCTACCCCCAAATCCATAATTCAGTTTAAACAGCCAGTTAAAAATAAAACCCAAGCAAACGAGACTCAGATCTGCCTAAGGGAGAGTGTGGCCAGACAGCATTGTGCAGCTGCGGTCCCCCTTTCGATCTGGGAGGTATCAAGGTGGCCCCATGCCTTCACTCTGTGGGGTGAATTGGAGTTCTGTTGACGTTGTGGTTGGTGGCTGTGGTATGTCTGCAACAGAGGGGGCTGATAGCGGAGGTGTCAGGTCTGGGGATTTGTGGTCACTGGACTCAGGTTGGAACTGTTGGTAACGGGGATACTATGATTGGTCCTGGTGGTGTGGAAGAGGATTCGCCATGATTAGGATGTTCATGCTGCCTGTGTTAGCTAAGACAGTGAAGTATGACAATTTCTGTTGATTGGATGATGAGAGAACATCACTCAGGTGTTAGGCATAAAACTGTTCATGCTGCTATCCACCTAGTGGATATTCTACCTTTCATTTTGGTGACTATAGCTCAGGGCAGTTCAGCTAATGCCACTTTGTAACGAGGCCAGGGCCCCCAATACACCCTGGGCTTTGGGAATGTTGCCTATCAGCTGCAGTGGGAATAGTGTCCTGCAAACTTTGCCCATTCCATGTTGCCCTCAAAATATATTCCAGATCCCATAGCCTGGAACTCTACATCTGGATCCCAGCTCTTCATGACCTTCTCTGCGGCCATTCATCCTGGTCAAAATGATTATTCTGGGATCTTCCATTCTGTTCTTTGACTCACCATGTCTGTGCCCTCAGATTAGATGGCCAGCCGGCCCTGTCTAAACATACCCCATCCCTCAAGACCAAGAACACTAACCTCTTCTTCCAGGAAGCCTTATCCTTCAGTTAGAGGGGCTCCTCCCTCTGAAGTCCACAATATCAACCTTGTATTGTGGTTACAGTTACACAGTCCTTTCCGAGTCTATTAGCATTCTTGGTACCCAGGAGCCTCACTCATAGATGTAGGGTGCTAAGTGAGGGAAACACTATTTACTTTGAGGATTTTATGTACGTCCTCGGCCTGGAGCCATACAAGGTGCTGCTCACAGTGGCCTGGAGGAGCTGAGAGGCACCAGGCTGCTAGAAAGCAAACATTTTAGTGCTTTAACTAATGGGCTCCAAGAGAGTACTAACAGTCTCGGGACTGGTGACAGAGGTTTAGGGTCCAACGACTTGGAGTGATCTCCTCAGGTCCTTTCCCACCCACAGGTTACCCACTGTCTGGGACCACTACTACCTCTGTGTCTAGCCGCCTCCTACCCTGCAACCTACTCTGGGACCTCACAAGTCATCAGTCCAAATACGGGTGAGTTCCAGCTTGCCTAGATGAAGGTAGACGTCTCTTGTCC